AAACACACAAGCCTCTAAAATTTTAGGCCAATAGGAACGACCTCTGCACCATGGCTGACTGAAGATATAAATAAACTTCAACATCAACAGCAGTGTCAACGGTGAGAGGAGAGATGAGAGTCCAGTTGGGGCTTATTTTTAAAAAAGTGCTGGTTGTTCTGACTCCGCTTCGGGGCAGGGCATTGAGGAGCACAAAGCTGCGGCTCCCTGCAGCGAGCTCCCCTGCCTTCCCCGGGGGCACCAGCCCCTGGCTTACCTCCCCGCTGCAAGGAAGCGGCACCACACACGTTATATATAGGCTGAGTTACCTGCATTTTACAAGCACCAAGCATGTTATCTGAGGAAGCTGTCACTTTTAATGACAGCACAAACTTCCAATTACCCACTGGGTAATACACCAGGGAGCAGGTCCAGGTCTATAAGAACGGCTCACAATTATGAAAAGTTTACACGATTACTTCTGAGCTGGATATAAATATTTCTCACGAGGCAAGGTGGGACTCAAGTTTTTCACGTGGTCTGTAGTCAAGGCTGGAAAAAGGAGGACTGTTTTCTTGAGAATTATACATTTTTGAGATTTATCAACAGCTCCGAAGTACGGGGTACCAGGGGACAGTCATCAAGAGGCCTGGCAAAGCCGAGAGGCTGTTAAAAATGGCCAGGTTCAAGGTCTCGAGCACAACCACAAGTTGCTGGCAAGTCACAAACGCTCAGGTCAGGCCCAATGCAAGAGTGAGGATCTGGCAATAGAAGATGTAAGTTAAGCCCCCTTCCCCCACCGTGGTCAGACATTATTCGCAGAAGGGACTCTGTTCCCTTTGGTGTCATCTGCCTTTCATGGTGTCTACACAGTCTCATGTGCAGTGACACGGAACAAACGGCCCTTACCAACTGCAGCACGTGCTCTTCCACAGAGATCAGACGGCCCCTGATCGAAATGAAGGCTACAATTTGTGAGGCTCAAATCACTCAACTCTTTGTGAAATCTTTCCTGAAGACTCCAGTCTCCAGGGATCTCTCCATTTACTGATACATTATTTCCTTAAGGAATCTCTGTGCTCAACGTGGAGCTCGAACCCACAGCCCCGAGATCCAGAGTCACACGCTTCTCCGGCTGACTGAGCCAGCTGGGCGCCCCTCCATTTACTGAATTTTAACTTGACTTGGGATATTACTACTTAGCCCCAAGCCTTGCTCCAGATGGACCAAGTTCTTGGGGGCAAGGTGTCTTGATTTGAAATCACTTACAAGGAGGGCGGAATAGGCAATCAAAGGAGACAAGTGCCCCATACTCAACAACAAAGCCGCCATCACAAGTATAATTAAAAGCCCTAATAATCATTAACTAATAGTTTTGAATGAAGAATCATTGGCATATACTGATTTATAAAGTGAGTCAAATGTGTTCTCGAGGCCATTCCTGCCACACTAGCAGAGAACTGGAGGATCTCGGCCTCTTCAGAGCCACAGCCCCATCCGTGTGGTAGGTAGGGCGGAGCCATCTATGGCTTCGAAGCCTTCCTTTCCCCTCTCCCCCCTACATTCACCTACCTGCTATTGCTCCAGAGGATTCTAGGACCTGCTCAAATCACTTGCCAGCCTCTGATGGCACACAGAATTATAGGAGGCATCACTGGACTAAGGCATCGAGAAAGCCATCAGAAAAGCTAACACAACAAGTAGAGAAAGCAGACATTTTCACAGTGCCACAAAGGATGTATGTTCCTGCCCATCAAATACAGGGTTTATGAGAACAATCAGGAAGTATATGTAACTCTAAAACGAACACCATGTTATATGTCAATTATATCTTAAGAAAAATAAAATTTAAAAATAATTGGAGAGTATAAACACCCAGCAAGTGAATTGGCTCAATAGATGTATACATCCATATAGCTAAATACAAATTAAAATTATGCAGATCTATTTTTATTGAAATAGAAAAGATGTCCATCCTGGAGTGCTAGGAGCAGTATTACAGAATAGTACAATCCTATTTCAATTAAAACTACATTTCTATGCATGTATGCATAGAAAAGTCAGCTCTACAAGTGGTTATTGCTGATTTGTGGGATTATGGATAATTTTGTTTTTTCTTATCTGTGAGTTATTTTTCTACAACAAACATGGATTCCTTATATAAGAGATAATCAATGGGCCAAAGAGACCTATTCCTTTCCTTCTCCACAGACATTAACAATACTCATTAGCTTAGTAACAAATATACTTAGTTTCAACAAATGAAAACATCTAAATTCTATCCTTTTTGAGAAAAGCTAATTATTTCCAAAAGTGTTTATAAAAGCCAGAACTCTACCAAGAGTGGATTATAAGACTAAGAGCTAACAAATCACATTTTATGGTGGTGGGGGTAGGGGTGGGGGGTGGGGTAGAAATCCTCTGAGATAAGGAAACATTCAATTTACTAGGGGAGCAGTGGCCTTCTAACAAGTGAAAAGGAAAGGAGACTTGACAACCTGTTTCACTTTCTATAAATAAAACCTTAGAAGGCATATTGCCAAAGAAACACAAGTCAATATAAACCTTTATACACTGGGCTGCCAAACTTCACTTTTAGACAGTATATTAATTATGTAGTCAATAACCACGGGTTTCATTAGTGTATTAAATACCACGATCAATATTATTTATACTTTTCCAAGACAGGCCACTCAGGAAAAAAAAGTGGGGGAGGGGGAAATTTCTGACCCTGCAGTTCAAGAAAGATCGGCACACTAGAGATTAGCAAGGCTTTAATGGAAAGCATAAAACACTGAAAATATGGACAGAAATCAGATTATTGCCCTTTTATTTTTTTTTCTTGCCTCTTTCACAGTGAGCCTGGAGGAGCTCCAAGAACCATTTAAAATGAAGGCAAAATGATTAGATTTTTTTCCTAATTGCTTAACACTGATGTCATGGTGTACGCAAAATAAACATCGATCTCAAAGTGAAAGATGAGAAATAGAACAACATGAACAGCCTTTCGAGGTAAACCATATCCAAGAGAATTCCAAGAACTGTGGGCCAGAATCTATTTAGGCCATCCTCAGGGACCTAAATCTCTTAAAAGCCTAACAGTGGCGCCAATTTCTGATGCTTCTCTACTACTGATCTGATTTCAGTAGGGAAATCTGCTAAACAGCCTCCCTCCAGGGAGCCGCCCCACCCCAGAACGGCCCGTGGCTTTGCCAGTCTCACCATGTGCTCACCGAGAACACCCGGCGCCCATCCAGTGGTCCCGAGATGTGTCAGGGCAACATGCTCTCCACGAGGTAGAGCCGTTGCGAGCGTGAACGAAGGGAATGCCGGGAGTAGATGTGAGACTGGTTACTGGGCTGAAAGCTAGATGACCACTTCCAACCCTCAATTTGTCAATCCGGAATTGTGCTGAAGACTGTAATTTTCTAGTCAGTGCTTGATAAGCAAGGTCAGACAGAAAAGAGTTTCCATAAAAATGGTTGAGGCCTCAGCCTAAGAAGCAAGGGCCACCCGATGACCATCGTCTGAGACTGGAATGTGTCCAAATCATCGGCCGGCCTGAGAAAGACCCTGTCTGTTGTGAGCAATGGGAGTCCTCTGGCCTAGAGCTGGCTGCTTCCCTCCTGACAGAGCGCGGGTAGGGACGAAACAGCCAGGCCATCATCACTCTACAGTTCCACAAAGGGCCGCCATGTGCCACCCCTGCACGGATTCAAACCCGGGTCCTCCTGCTGCAGGCTGACTGCAACGCCGCCTGAACGCTCGGGGAGAGATGTGCAGCAAACGCCAAGTGGTGGGTCGAGGCAACCGGATAGATGATTGATACGATTAGGAAGACACAGAGCAAGCGTGCTCCTGCTGACTGAAAAGCCCAGTAGCATAATTACTGTTTTCTTACTGGCTCACCGTCTGTACACATTTCAAAGCCTGGTTGATGTTAGACTGCTGTGTGAACATCAATAAAATCCCAAAGTGCCAGATCATCAGCATTCTTGAGCACAATGGCTTTTTTAGTGTTTTCATTCTTTTAAAGATGCATTTTAGGGTGGCAAACATTAGGATGAATGATCTCTATGCCTTGGACTAATCTTTGAGTCTGTAATGAGTTAACATCTCCCCCAAGTGAACATTTATTATGAAGGCTAATTAATTGCTTTCCAGTTATAAGAACCCTTTGCATTCAAAGTAGGATTCACACACAGAGAATATTCTGTTTATTAAAACAAAGCAGGGGAAACAAAGGGCCTCTCCTTCAAAATCCCTTCTATTTAACATAGCTTTAATCAAGAAATGAAACATACAAGTGTAAGAAATATGTACAGGTAGAAAAAGCGTGCATTCGCCAACCCAAAAGCAACATTAATTGAAGCGAAAACTAAAGCAATGCTTTGTAGTTGCCGGGATGTCCCTGGGGGACAGCAAGTCAATGCTTATCAGCTTTCCTCAGAAGAGACAATTTTGATGAATATCAGACCCATCTGACTCAGCCTATTAAACCCTGAAGGAGGGATATTCTTCAGATATAAAAGATATGTCTTTGATTAATAATTCTACCCTATTACCATTCCAGGCATTAACAACTATGAGGCACCTCTCGAAAGAGAGAGCCTTTGCATTCCAGAAAGACACACTCACACTACAGTGCAGGCCCCGCACACCCGCTTCTCGGCCCCCCCGCGAGAGGGAGCCCAAGTCGTGAGGGTGTCGCCATGGGAGAGGCGGAAACCCTCATTCCATAATTTCTTTCACTGTCTGCAGAGTTAGGGTCAATTACTTGTGACATAATTCCTGCTTGAAGATAATGAAATCTTAATAAAACGGACAAAAGCCTGAAGACAGAGGGAGTGGCCGGCACTACATTACGTGCTGCCGACCCCCTGAGACAGATAGTTTGCACCAGAGCTGTCGGAGCCCGTCTGCCGTGCCTATCAGCGGGCACGATGGGCTCCAAGAGGTGCCCGAGGGAGGAAAGCGCTTCAGCCGCCTCAGAGAGGCTCTCTGTGCCGCACAGCTCACGCGGAAACGTCACGTGGGGAGGGGGGGAAGGAAGCGGTTCCATTTCAGCTTTGCCTCTCCAAACTTCTGCCCCATCAGCCCTGCTCTTCTCACATCAGCGCGTTTCTCCTGATGTTCATGATCAGCCTTCTGCTATATTCTCTGTAGTCCACCGGCTTCACGTCCATCACGGTGGCCTTAATTCGAGACTCGTCCTTTGAGAAGAGAAAAGCAGTCTGTGAGCGGAGGAAAGCCCACGGCATGGAGCGGTGGTGATAACCCCCTTTGCTTCAGAGGTTTCAATGATCCCAGCGGGAGAAAACACAAAGGCATGCTGGACTTAGTGTTCAGTCATTCCAATTCAGAACACAGTCACCCGTTAGAGCCACGTTCAGAACTCCTGGAGCCAGGAGAGTGGACAGAAGCCCCTCTTCATCCTTCCCTCGTGCCCCCAAGCTCTCAGAAGCCTAGATTCCAAATGGGATGGACCAGCGGGCTGATCTAGGTCAATTTATTTTCTCTGCAGAGGGGAACACAGGAGCCCAGAGAAGAGAAGTGACTTGCCTGAAGCCACACAGCTAGTTCTGAGATTGGTGTGAAAGCAAAAGCACCCACGGCAGAGGAGGAAGACCTGGTCTGGGGCCATCTCAGCTCTGCAAGAGACAAGCTCTCTGCACCTCACCGTCCCTGTCGGCACCATGAGAGCACTGCACGACCCCTCAAATCGTCCCCGGGTCCCACCTCACTCTGACACTCCATCACAGACATTTGACTCCCTACCTCATTCAGTGTCTACTAGCAGGTACTAGGGTTAAGGTGTAATAATAAAACAGAGTGAGGAAACCCTGAAACAAGCAGAGAGAACTCTCCGTCCTCACTTGTTCATCAGGACTCAACAATGCCTTCAGAGGCAGGATGACGGGATGCCCAGAAAGGGTGCACAGTCTGGTTCCAGGGCTCAAGCACTTCTGTGTGCATGTGCTCCGTAATGACGACATAATCCTATTTATAAGGATGGTGAAGAGCAAAGCTCTAAAGCTGGGGCCGGAATCTTAGTTCTGCCATGTGCTGGCATATGACTTATGTATATTACTTATTCTCTGCATGCCTCCATTTTTTCAGTGGTAAAATGGGGATAATAGTAGTTCTTACATGTGGGTTACTGCCAGGATCAAGTGAGATACTAGATGTAAAATAAAGGGTGTAGAAGAGTAACTGGCAGATAGTAAGTGCTCAATAAATGCTGTTATAGTAGGACTATCCAATTATATGATGTTATAGGCAACTTAAAGGAATTTTCAAGGTAATTTTAACTATGTGTGGTCTTTGTTTCACATACCAACCTCAGGGCCCGGTAAACACCTTACCATTCTTTGTCAGTACACCAACAAAAAAAACCCCAGGTTGTAACTGAAGAGACCACGCAGCATTTCCCTCTAGATGCTCAACACTAGACAGAACACTCAACCTCTCTAACTTTGTTTCCTCAGCGCTGGGAAGATCCAGGGAGCTTAGCCCTGGGTCTGGCACACAGTACACAATTAAGTGACAGCTGCCACCGGACTCTTGCTGTGCGTGACAAACAGTAGCTTCCCACCCCAGGTGACCCCACTTACATTGTAGGTCTCCAGTTTCACCCTGATCCTGAATGTGAAAGATCGGAAGTTGGCATTCTGGAAAACTTCCTCAAATGCTTGCTCATTCTGCAAAAACAAACGTTAAAACTTTAGGCATGGAAGCTACCAGACCATTTGAAAATACCCATTAAGATTTTTGAAGGGGTGGGGCGCCTGGGTGGCTCAGTTGGTTAAGCGTCTGCCTTTGGCTCAGGTCATGATCCCAGGGTCCTGGGATGGAGCCCTCCATCGGGCTCCCTGCTCCGCGGGGAATCTGCTTCTGCCTCTGCCTCTACCTGCCACTCCCCCTGCTTGTGCTCTCTTTCTCTGTCAAATAAATCAATAAAATCTTAAAAAAAAAAAAAAAATTTTTGAAGGGGCGCCTGGCTGGCTCAGTCAGAAGAACATGTGACTCTGGATCTTGGGGTTGTAGGCTCGAGCCCCACATTGGGTGTAGAGATTACTTAAAAATAAAATCTTTATTTTTTCTAAATTTTTTATTTTTTAAGATTTTATTTATTTGAGAGAGAGCACAAGCAGAGGGAGCAGCAGAGGGAGAGGGAGAGACAAACTCCCCACTGAGCAGGGAGCCCAATGTGGGGCTCCATCCCAGGGCTCCAGGATCATGACCCAAGCCGAAGACAGATGTTCAACCAACTGAACCACCCAGGCGCCCCAAGAAAAAACATTTTTAAAAAGACTTTTGAGAAAAATCTCAAATTTTTTTTACCCCCAGTGGTTTAAATTACTTAGGAAGGACTAATCTATAGGTGACATTTCATTACATAAAACCGTTTAGGTAGAGGGGCGCCTGGGTGGCTCAGTCATTAAGCGTCTGCCTTCGGCTCAGGTCATGATCCCAGGGTCCTGGGATCGAGCCCCACATCGGGCTCCCTGCTCAGCGGGAGGCCTGCTTCTCCCTCTCCCACTCCCCCTGCTTCTGTTCCCTCTCTCGCTGTGTCTCTCTCTGTCAAATAAATAGAATCTTAAAAAAATCTTAAATAAATAAAATCTTAAAAAAAACCCCACAAAACTGTTTAGATAGAATTTTATTAATAAACTAAAATACTCTACCTATAGTAGTCAAATTCACAGAGACAGAAAGTAGAATGGTTGCCAGGGGCCAGAGGAAGGGGAAATGGAGAATTAGCATTTAATGAGTGTACTGAACATAAAAATGGTTAAAATGGTAAATTTTATGTTATGCATATTTCACCATAATAATAATAATAATAAAATTAAACCACTCTTAGAAACACATTTCTAAACTTCAAAAGTTTGTGATGGAATCTCAGGGTTATGAATTTGAGCCCCATGTTGGATGTAGAGATTTACTTAAAAATAAAATCTTAAAGGGACCTCCTGGGTGGCTTAGCTGGTTAAATGTCTGTCTTTGGCTCAGGTCATGGCCTTGGGGTCCTGGGATCGAGCCCCATGTCGGGCTCCCTGTTCAGTGGGGAGCCTGCTTCTCCCTCTGCCTGACACTCCCCCTGCTTTTGCGCGCTCTCTCTGACAAATAAATAAAATCTTAAAAAAAAATAAAATACTTAAAAAAATAAAATCTTAAAAAATAAAAGGAATTAAAGGAAAAAATAGTCAGAAAAAAGTTCAGGTTTTCATACTGTTTTAGTCTCTGCATTTACAGTTACTTGTGAGCAAGTGAAGAAGGCAGGTGAAGTGGGTAAAGATTAGGGAAAGTTTGAAAAGCACAGTTCTCTCCCTCTTTGTCTTGTCCCTCAAACACTATTTAAGCTTTTCATTTTTTTTAAAGACTTTATTTGACACAGACAGAAAGAGAGCACAAGGAGAGGGAGAAGCAGAGGGAGAGTGAGAAGCAGGCTCCCCGCAGAGCATGGAGCCAGACTCCGGGCTCCATCCCAGGACCTTGGGATCATGACCTGAGCCGAAGGCAGATGCTTAATGACTGAGCCACCCAGAAGTCCCTATTTAAGCTTTTCTTTTACTTTTTTTTTTAAAAGTAATCTCTACACCCAGAGTGGGGCTCAAATACATGACCCTGATATCAAAAGTCACACGTTCCATGGACTGAGGCAGCCAGGTGCCCCACTAATTAAGATTTTTTATTAAAAAAAAAAAAAGTCTGGTAAACAGGAATCAGAGAAAGCCTTTTATATAAATATGCATAACATTTCCAGTAACTTTATATAATATTAATAGTTCGTGTCAGTTAATATCTTTTCAAACCACATGGAACATGAAAATGGTTTTGTTACACAGAACTCTTGTATAAAAGTTACTTCACATATACACACAAAGTCCTCTGGGCTTTCAGATATGTAAATAAAACAATGTGTTAAACCTTAAGAAAATTATACTAGTTGCCATTATTCTTCAAGATTAGAGAAAGCATGGAGCATGTACTCCAAGAATATCATGGTTCCTGAGGGAAGAGTTTCTATATGTCCTCATTCACCAGCAGTAAAAACAGTCAAATGTAATAAGCTCATAAAAAACTCTGAAAAGCTGCCTTGAGCCTTAAAATCTGATATGAAAATAAAGAACCAGGCAAAACAGATGAAAGATACCATCATACTTTAAAGTCAATTCCAGTTCTTTCTATAAAGGGGCTTGTTGGCATTATTTTCAGAGATCTCACAAACAATTTAAAAAAGGTGTGTGTTGGGGGAGGGGGGAGCCAAATGGACAAACTGAAGACAGGAAAGAATAAGAAAAACACACGAAACCAACAACAAATCTTTTTTTTCTTAGTGGTGTGTGTGTGTGTTTCCTTAGTGGTTTATTTATAAATTTTCTAACCAATTTGGAGGAAAAGGGGAAAAATCTATAGAGAGATGCTAATTTGTGTGCCCCAGAAAACACAGCTTTCATTGGTCATCTTTATTTTTATTTTTTTTTTAAGATTTTATTTATTTGAGAGACAGAATGAGATAGAGAGCATGAGAGGGGAGAGGGTCAGAGGGGGAAGCAGACTCCCCGCTGAGCGGGGAGCCCAATGCGGGACTCGATCCCGGGACTCCAGGATCATGACCTGAGTCGAAGGCAGTCGCTTAACCAACTGAGCCACCCAGGTGCATTGGTCATCTTTACACATTTTTTTTTAAACAATTTCATTTATTTATTTGAGAGACAGAGCACGAGTGGGGGAGAGGGGCAAAGGCAGAGGAAGAAGCAGACTCCCCACTGAGCAGGGAGCCCAACGTAGGACTCCATCCCAGGACCCTGGGATCATGAACTGAGCCAAAGGCAGACGCTTAACCAACTGAGCCACCCAGGTGCCCCCATCTTTACACATTTTATCTGAGTATCTTTCCTACATTTAGCAAAATCAGTAATCTATCCCCTACATTAAATAAACCTAACATATTAAAATACAAATTTATAAAAATGAAATGGATAAAGTTATCTTAGGAAAGAAAGTTACTTTGTAAGAACTGCATCTGAAGACCTGGAGTAGGAAGTACCTTATATGTGAATTTAAACCAGGATTTGACTCAACTTTTCAGGAAGGTGTTTATTATGTTAAAAGGGCACATCTGTACCTCAGATTACTTCAGAAGATACCTTCCAGATCTCAAGTGATTGTAGGCACATCAACTTTAGTGCGCTAACAGTAACAGGAGAAGTAAGTGCTTTATACTTGTAAAGTGCTGTTTTTAAAGCACTTTTTTTTTTTTTTTTTTTTTAAGGAGGCTCCACACCCAACGTGGAGCGTAAACTCACAACCCTGAGATCAAGAGCTGCACGCTATACCGAAAGAGCCAGCCAGGCACCCATAAAGCACTTTTTTATACATTACTTGACTACTCATTGTTAGCACACCCAAGGTGGACAAAATTTGACAGAATCAGATGAGCTCTTAAATCATCATCAGACTGAGAAACTATATACAACACCCCAAAGAAGTTAAAAAAAAAAATTAAAGAGCAAAAAAAGGGTGTTATTGGCAACTGTTACAGTAATAATAAAAGATGAGGCCAACCTTCTCTTTTAACTCCCCAAGATAAGCAGTGCTTTGTCCAATGATGGTCTCTGCAGACTCCTGGAAACAAGTGACCCACTGATTCTCTTGAAAATCAGCAATATTTACCTGAAAAACACATTATAAATTAATTCAGCCAAGAAATAATGAAAGGAAGACATACTCAGGAGACTGGAAGATTAACTTTTTCCATTCATTAAAATAATTCCCAGGGAAAAATCCATTACCACTATATATGCTATATTCTTTCAAAAGAGGAAAATATTGCAGAAAGAAGTTTAAAATATAAGTCTGGATCACAGGAGGAACACAATACGCCATGGACATGTGATTTCAGATCTCAGTGGAGATAACAACCCAACTCAACTCTCCTTCAGACACAGAATCCAGGTACATCAGACTAGGTTCCCCTCCAGCTGCAATGCCCTTTGGACTCAAGGTTTTGAATGAGCCTCCAAAGAGTGACAGCAGGTTCTCTGCATTTTAAACTCTACATCCTTCAGTCACTAGTTCCATAAGACTAGTTCCATTCACTGCTGAACATCCCAGACTATTTAAAAGCTTGAGCTTAAGGGCCTTCATCCAGCTGCCAAACTTAACTAGCAACAGAAATGAGCAATCAAGTGTCCCACTTGGACAATGGTAAAATTAAACAGGGGAGAGTCAGGGAAGAAAGTGGATCACACAGAATCCACCTGCTAAAGTAAAAGTCTTACTACATATAAGAAAGCAAAGGTTTTTTTTTTTTTTTTTTAAGGTAGCATTTGATGATTCTACATATTCGCTTGGCATGGACATGGAGGTTTAATATCAAAAGTTATGATGAAAAAATAGGGGACAAGAAAAGTTAAAAACACTCCCATATATGAGAGAATATATTACACACTAGGGTTCACACCTACAGTTTGTTTACCTCATGCTATTCCTAGAGGCAAAGAGCTGAGGAGGGTGACAATGGAGACACCATCTCGTGAAACCAGTGTGCTGGGATTCCTATTTATGAGTTTCACAGAAAGGCTGATAAACCATCTAAAACAATTTTCTCGGGGCACCTGGGTGGCTCAGTCATTAAGCGTCTGCCTTCAGCTCAGGTCACGATCCCAGGGTCCTGGGATGGAGCCCCACATAGGGCTCCCTGGTCAGCGGGAAGCCTGCTTCTCCCTCTCCTGCTCCCCCTGCTTGTGTTCCCTCTCTAGGTGTCTCTCTGTGTGTCAAATAAATAAAATTAAAATTAAAAAAATTTTTTTAAATTAAAAAAAAATAACTTTCTCCATCCTAGTTCAATGAAGTTTATGTTTATTTTCGGTAAAAATAGGAAGTTTAAATGTAGAAATGTAGCATTTCCTGCTGAACTAAAATTTTTTTTTCAGAATTTTTATTATGTTATGTTAATCACCATACATTACATCATTAGTTTTTGTGAACTAACATTTTAAGGGGCAATTAGAATATAGAAAGGATAAGTAAAATCCTTTATTTTTTATCTAAAAATATTTTTAATTAATTTAATTTAAATTTGCTATTACAAAGGGGAAAAAAAAGGAAAATGCAGAAGAAACTAGAAATCAACCAGAAATAACCTCAATCAACACTCTGGTATTTGTCCTCTAAGTCTGTTTTCTGTGTGTGTACATACCTCAAGACTATATCAAACACTCCATTTAAAATTAGCCATTTCAATTAATAAGCCTGAACATATATTCATGTCATTTTCAAATATTTTAACTGTAGAAAACTGTCAAATGATTGTCAGATTCTGATGCCTTCACAGTATTCCACACTACAGATATATAATAAAGGAATTAACCAATAAAATATTAAGGAAGTTTAAGTTGTATCGAAGTTTTCAAAATAACAGAGTAAGAAATAACTTTACACAGCTGTAACATCTCTGATGATTTCTTAGAAGAAATTCCCTCCAAGTGTTTAATGTGCCAGAAAATATAAACATTTTTAAGGCTCCTGATATATTACTGCCAAATCACCTTCTGGGAAAAAAGCAAGAATACCTATTTTCTTATACCTTTATTATCCTTTAGTATTATGTTTTTTTTTTTTAAAGGACACCCTTCACTTTAAAGGTTTTTAAAACAGAAACAATTCTTACAATGCAAAAAAGCCACACTCCCACATCAGCATGCGGTCACATTCCTGAGAAGTCAGCTCTAGGACGGCCAAGAGGAACAGACTATCTACAAGAGAGAGAACTAAATACAGGCACTGGCTGTATAACTACTGCTCTCCAGAAACGCCGTTTCAAACGAATCTACCTCTGTCCTGGGTAGCGGGAGGGTGTCACCGACACTGCAACTGTACTACGCACACAGCAACCGCCGTCAGCTGGGTACCTAAATGCAACTTTCTGGTACGAAGAAAAGTTCTCAGTAGGAGACAGACTGCTGTTCAGGTGAGTGAAAGGCCCCTACTTGCCGTACTCCTAGAACAGTAAGAAGCTCTTCAGCACTTACTCATCCGTAGGCTTCCTGCCCCCAGCAGTCTTACTTTTGCTGCTGTCTCTACAGGGCCTGGCTCTTGGCAGGGACTCAAGAAGCAGCACAGTACTTCCCATCTATCCCTTCTACTTACTGACAGGATCATGCGGTACTTGAAGCTGGGAAATTCACTGTCACACTTTTCACAGCGGTATAATCCATTCTGTTGGTCAATCACTTTCTTATTGCAGTCCTGAGTTGGGCAGGCCTGATACATACAGTTCTCTTTGCGAAGATACACTACTGTCGCCACAGAGCTAAAGTAGTCGGCCTTCGGGAGAAAAGAGTGCCATGAGATCTAGAACACAAGGCCTACGTTCGACCTGCCCACAGCCTGCCCTTCCATGTAAGCGCCAAGTGTTTACATATACGAATCCCTGAGATCCCACTGGCTTTAGAGGGAATAATTTATGCTATAGCTTCTGAAATCACTTGTGCTGACTCCAAAACCTACAAAGATAATAAACTAAGTTCTAAAGGGTATTATCCCTTAACAATAAAAGCGAATTCTAAATTAGACCAAATTAATTAATTAAAAACAGAAAAAGGGGCGCCTGGGTGGCTCAATTGTTAAGCGTCTGCCTTTGGCTCAGGTCGTGATCCCGGGGTCCTGGGATCGAGCCCCACATCGGGCTCCCTGCTCCGCAGGAAGCCTGCTTGTGTTCCCTCTCTCGCTGTCTCTCTCTTCAAATAAATAAAATCTTTAAAAAACAAAACAGAAAAAGACGCTATGAAAGACAAAGACTTCAAGAAAAAAGATTTGTTCCTCCGGCTCCTTGGACTCTCCAAAGGTAACTGATGGAGGAAACGCAGGCGAATGCAGGCGAACCCAGCGCAGCGGTGGCCAACCGCCCTCCCACGGGTAAAACAACAGCAGTGATTTCCGGGGCCTACAATGCCCTGCATCTTTGTCTAGGCCATGGTGGCAAACTGTGTAGAAAGCCAGACAGGAAGTATTTTAGGCTTTGTGAGCCAGTCACCGTCTCTGTTGCCGCCGCTCACTGCGTGAGTGTGCAAACACACACATGAGCTGTGTGCCAACCCTGGCCTACGCCGTCGACGCGGGGAGGCCACCAAGAGGTCAATGTAGCAAGGACTACGTCATGTGCTCCTGCTTTATGTTGTCCCTATTTGTTTTACTTCTTACCTCTCACAGAGAGGATACAGAATGAATAATTTTGGGGGGTGAACAGTTCCCTCTGGGTGTACTCCGAATTCAGAGCCAGGTCGGCAACCTCCGGGGCTTCCCAATGTCTCAGACCAAAAAAAGGTCAAACAATAATGTGAATGTTTAAAGAGACTGAGTGAGGCCTCAATCTAGAAGGCTCCAAGAAAGTGAGTCTCGGGGCATCTGGCTGGCTCAGTCAGGAGAGCATGCGACTCTTGATCTTAGGGTTGTACATTTGAGCCCCACAGTGGGTACAGAGGTTACACCCTAGGAGAAAGTCTCCTAGGAGAATGCCTATTGAGTTTTTCTATATTTCCAGGTAAGATCCAGATTCAATGCATGACTTTAAAGTTAGGGTGCAAATAGAGCAAGTGCTCTCCAGGCCTAATTTCTTTTCTTAAAAACTTATTTATTTATTTTTAAGTAATCTCTACACCCAACAAGGGGCTTGAACTCACAACCCCGAGATCCAAGAGTCACATGCTCTTCCAAGTGAGTGAGCCAGGTGCCCCCAGGCCTGATTTCTTATTACACACTTTAGATCTAAGAGGGACATTGGGTATCAAGAGAAACTGAAGAGTGGCTGCTCCTCTGACCAGGACAACACAGATCTGTCTAATGTTTAATTCTCAAGATGCTGTATGACAGCATCATAAGGTGCCGCTGATGACAATGATGGATAGAGTACGGTGAAATGAGACAGTAAAGAATAAAAACTGTATTATATAATATGAAAATAATAAAAGTAGGAATTGTGTTTGGGGGAGCATAAAGGAGAAATAAATGACTTAAATGTTGAACTGCTGGCGGAATACAGGTTTAGATCAAGACGGGAAGGGGTGCCCGGGTGGCTCAGTCGTTAAGCATCTGCCTTCGGCTCTGGTCATGATCCCAGGGTCCTGGGATCGAGCCCCGCATCAGGCTCCCTGCTCAGCGGGAAGCCTGCTTCTCCCTCTCCGCCTCCCCCTGCTTGTGTTCCCTCTCTCATTGTGTCTCTCGCTCTCTGTCAAATAAATAAATAAAATCTTTAAAAAAAAAAGACGGGAAGAGTGTCATTACATACAAACATTGGAAGGAAGCTGCAACTAAAGTCGAATACGAGAGCCAGTTCCTGTCAGAGAATAGTGGCAAACGTTTGGCCCATGAGAGGTTAGTATCGTGCAGCCAGTGAAGGCCCACGTGAACTGCCTGATGTCTGACACGGAGCCTCGCTAATGCTCAGTGTTGGCTCTAACCTCAAAACGCATCTTCTTGGTATGTGGGCATTTTGATTTGCAGGAACAATCAGCAAAAATAAATATGGACCCAAAGTCATTACCTCTTCATTAAGATCCTTCTAAGAATTAAACAACTCTCTAAGTCAGAGTTCATAACATTTTTTTTGCCTCAAGATATGTGAGAGATGGGGCACCTGGGTGGCTCAGTCATTAAGCATCTGCCTTCGGCTCAGGTCATGATCCCAGGGTTCTGGGATCGAGTCCCGCATTGGGCTCCCTGCTCCGCGGGAAGCCTGCTTCTCCCTCTCCCACTCCCCCTGCTTGTGTTCCTGCTCTCGCTATCTCTCTCTGTCAAATAAATAAATAAAAGATCTTAAAAAAAAAAAAAAGATATGTGAGAAATACATGGAGGCGTGGCTCCCTCACCCTGGCAGTGATTCTCCACCATCACGTCATCCTCTGGTCAGAGCACTGGTTAAGAATCATAGCTCTGAGTGAATGTCTGACACCTAGTACTAGAAATCAGGTTTGAAAACTCATCCTTTTGCACACTTTATGTGCTTTTGTGAATAAAGTTAGGAATGTGGGATACCTTGTCACCATGGCCCAGGTTCTCTGATTTAACCTCATATAAAGTTTTCCAGTTGGTGTTGCTCCCTCCTATTCCTCCACTCTTTAGATCAGAGATGGAAACACCATCTAAGGCTTGTCCTTCTGAGTCAAACCTGAAAAATAAAAAAAGAACAACAGGTACTTTATATATATTTATTGAATATATTACTTGTTTCTAACTGCCAGATACAGGCCATCCACACCCCCAACCCCTACTCATCGGTCGTGGTCACGTGGGCTGAAGTTAGTACCCTCCTCCTTGTATCTTAAGCCAACTGCAGGAAGGGAATGACCTCTTTTCATCTCAATTGCTTTGATGCCCCCCAGTGGTCAAGAAAGACAGCGCCAAAATACAACAACCTTTTCTTTCTTTTTTTTTTTTTTAAGATTTTATTTATTTTTTGAGAGAGAGAGAATGAGAGACAGAGAGCACAAGAGGGAAGAGGGTCAGAGGGAGAAGCAGACTCCCTGCCGAGCAGGGAGCCTGATGTGGGACTCGATCCTGGGACTCCAGGATCATGACCTGAGCCGAAGGCAGTCGCTTAACCAACTGAGCCACCCAGGCGCCCTACAACAACCTTTTCTTAAATTAGCATCTGGTACATAGTTCTTTAGGCTACTGATGCTCATTCTCAGTCAATAGCTGCATTTTTATCATTACTGAAATATATCATCATAGAAAGTGGCAGTCCCCATAATATAACATGGTGGCAAAAAACGTTCCCATGGTAAAAGATCTTATAAGCCTGGGGCACCTGGGTGGCTCAGTTGGTTAAGTGTCTGACTTCTAAGCATCTGACTTTGGCTCAGGTCATAATCCCAGGGTCCTAGGATTGAGCCCCGCCTCGGGCTCCACGCTCAGTGGGGTGTCTGCTTATCCCTCTCCCTCTGCCCCTCCCCCAGCTTGTGCTCTGTCTCAAATAAATAAAATCTTAAAAAACAATCTGATAAGCCTGATATAGAGTTTAAAGGATTATATAATCCAAAGTAATTTAACAGAAGATAGATAATATCTTCTTAGTGAGATTTTACCTATGCCAATATCAAAATTAACATTAATTTGTGCTACAGTATTATTAAAACTGATTATACTAAAAATTTTTTTTAATATTTTTATTTATTTATTTGACAGAGAGAGACAGCGAGAGAGAGAGCACAAGCAGGGGGAGTGGGAGAGGGAGAAGCAGGCCCCCTGCTGAGCAGGGAGCCAGATGCGGGGCTCGATCCCAGGACCCTGGGACCATGACCTGAGATGAAGGCAGACGCTTAACGACTGAGCCACCCAGGTGCCCCAAAACTGATTATACTTCTTGATCACACATCAGCTGATATGAAGGAAAGTGGCTCAGAAACATACTTGTGGCAGGGAAGAGTCAGTCTGAGATTAAAAACATGCCAATGTCATCTAAAAGGAGGATAACTAAAAGCTAAACACATACAGAACAGGCTTCTTAAAAAGAGACCATCTAACAGAATGGATGCTGCCTTAAGCTGCAGACAATTGCCTTCACATTCTGTCAGGTAAGCGGCTAAATCCATCACAGAAGCACAGCAAGGTCCATAAATCTGTTTCACCACTACTAGCTACACCAGTTTATGGTTTCAAAAACTCCAAGGAGACATTTGCCACTAAAGATAGCTCATCAGGACTCAACAGAGCAAGGACAGAGGCAGCCCTTCTCACAATAAAAAAACCCCACATTGTTATAACCAAGATCTAACATCTCCAATCCTTGCCTAGGTGGGATGTGTGCATTGAACTTCTCTTGGATCAATGCCAGTTATTTTATTCTGGAGACAGCCATGTCTTTTTATGTTGACCAGGATCACTGTTATTGACAAGTAAAATATGAAGACCTTAATGTGGGCATGCAATTAACCTGGGGTCGAGCTCTAGAGCCCAAAAGAAAATCAAGCAATAAGGACAAACTAAAGCTGTCGTTATTTCTGGTCAGACTACAAATAGGCCCTGCCTTCTAATGCCATGCCAGCTACCAGGATAGATACTCAGAGGCCAGCCTGAGTGACATGAACACTTGAGTAGCTGTTTCATGAAATCATTCAAATACTAGTGCTTCTAGTGGCTCACATTACACTCAGAATAAAAGTGAGAAGTCTATCACAGGAACTAATTCTTTAAGTACTAAAACCCTAGGCCAGAGGTGGAACCCGACACAACTCCCCTGGGACTACAGCTATACAAATTATTAAAGCTCAAGCTAGTTAAAGTGTTTTCCCTGACCACATCAATTCTTGCATACCATGTTTCAGTTTGAAGTGCTCCTTAAAGGCAGAGTTTTAACACCCTACAAAGCTAGATATAGTGAGGAGATTTTAATAGGCTTTCCTCAGCCCCTGAGTACTTGGGGAATAACAATACAATGCCAACAAAAGTCCATTGTTCCCACCATCAGAGTCCAGTGAACACACACCAGAAGATGCGTCCAGCACCAAGTGGACAAAACAAGGAAGCACATTCTTTCCCCACCCCCTGGGAGCCCGCAGCTTTAAACCTAGGAAACAAAACTGCCCCCCACTCACAGTCCTGCACACAGCTGTGAGAGCCTGGCCGCCCCTTACTTTGGCAGGATCGAGGTCAGCTGCAGCACAGCACTTCCATTCTGCCGGCCTCCTCTGCAATATCTGGGTTTGTCATGGGATTACAGGTTTGTCAGTTTAAGGGCTTTAAAGCCATCCTCTCAGAAGGCATAATGCTTCCAAGAAATATAGGGACTGCTCCATTCAGGAACAAAGCCCTCTGCTCGGCAGATAGCTCACATACTGATCGTAAGAGCCAAAAGAGCCAGCTCTTCTCACTCAAAGGTCGGGCTCAAATAACCCCTTTGTTTAGTCCCATAAAACCTACCATCCACGAAGCTTATAGGCCTCTGGGATGTCAGGATTCACAATGACCGTGCTTGAAGACAGTACAGAGAGGCTCCGTCCACCAAAATCAGAAACTCTGGCTCCTTTGATAGCCATCACGGGTTGTCTAGAACCATCAAATCTATCAGCCTGAATAATAACAAAAACATCAAACAAATACAGTGAACAGGTGTCACTAGCAGGAAGAACACACAGAACATTTTTATAGAAAACAAGGAAAACAGTCAATAGCAGAGTAAATGCAATAAATGGTACATGGAATCTATCCAAGATAACCTCACACCCAAGAATCTGTTCCAAGATACAGCAAAACTAATCTAGAGTTAGAGGAAAGATCATTTCACTGTGTAAGACTAAGATCACAGCATATTTCACAAAAGTAAATCAAATAAAGGATTTCGGATATTCCCTGGCCAGCTCAATCCTTCTTTAGGGAGGGCCCACATGGCCAAAGCCCCACAACTCTTAGGACAAGACAGCCTCCCGGCTCTCTACTAGGTCTCTGCCTTCTGCACATGCTCTGACTGCTCAAGGCAACTACTTACATCCTCCCCCCACAGAGTAGTGGTGACCACTTTCCCTGACATGTCCATCAAATAGATATTTCGCTTAGAAACTTCTCTGTTGTTAGATTTCACTGTGATTTTGGTGGCATCTTCGTAGCTCTTGCAGATCCCAATTATGTCTAAAATACAGGCACAATGTGTTAGCAAAAATGGTCAAGGCACCCATTACAGCATGATCAAAGGTTGAATGGCAAGCACTTCAGTCGTACACTTCCCTTACATGTTGCCAACAAAACCAGTAATCACAACTCTCTTTGCTCTCGTACGCAGACTTACCTATAAGTGAGTCTTTAGGCTTGTTCTCCAGCTCACTAATCCCTGTGAAATCAAACTGAACTGTAGGTAAATGATGACCATGTTCACAGGGCATGACAGAAGTCTCATTGTTGAAGGTCATCTCATAGTCATTTTTAACAGCTGTGAACTGTTTGTTAGCAATCTTCAGGGTGCCTTTGGAGATATAATAGACCTGCAAAAAGGCAAGCCATGGAACGGGGGTAGTCCATCAGATTCAACAAACAACTCCTTACCACCATGCAGTTCTCCGAAGAACGAGAGATCCCTCCCTCCTCCCGGTACCACTCAATGGTTTCAGTTCTCAGTGTAACACTACCCTACCTTGTTCATGTCGATAAGGGGAAAGAACTTGTCCACTTGCTCATTGAAAGCAGTAGCTCTGATTTCACCCTGCAGAAGCATGCAAGAGCAGGTTAGAATTGTGCTTATCAAGTTTTACCCCTGATCTTTAAGGCAGTCACACAGGCACAAACAGAATGGGTGAGAACTACAGACACCCCAGAAACACACATTTTATAGTCACATATTCAAGTTATTCACAATGGAACAACCTAGGTTTAACTAGCCGATCCTGCTGTGGTGCTTTATTAACCTCAAGTTAGAGACCTAAAAAAAAAAAAAAAGCAAACAAAAAAACACAAGAAACCTAGTGATTTTAATATTCTGACAACAAAAATAAATTCTGAACACTGAGTGACACAAATGAAGCCCACGAGGAAGTGTGATGAGCCAAATGATTCACCAGCTACCCTCACGCTCCTACCAAGCAAGGAATTACATCATATTTGGGAGTTACTGCCAAAATGTTGTAATACATCATGTTTTCAAGTTGCTTGTGATTTGATTTTCATTTTTACTTTTCCATCAGTCAAAATACTATAGATGGGGAGCCTGGCTGGCTCAGTTAGGGGAGCATGCGACTCGATCTCAGGGTTGTAAGTTCAAGCCCCACGTTGGGTGTAGAGATTACTTAAAACAAAAACAAACTTCAGATGGATAAGAAACTTAAAGAAAGGGCTGAAATTTTAGCCAACTGACAGATTAGACTGATAATCTGGTAAAAAATTAGGTTCTGATACTGATTCTGCCATCATACAGTCAATACATTTGGGGTATCAGTCCATCTTCCAAAAACAAACCACCTATTATTTTTCTGCCTTCTCAGAAGTCTGAACCAATAGGAAATATGCAGCAGCTTGAAAACAAGGTATCAAGTACATATTAGGAATTATAAACATAACTAACAGAGAAATGGCTAACAAGACTGTCAAGATTCCACATTGTGGATTTTTTGTCTCTTCATCATGGTTTGGTTTTGTTTAAGTAAAGCATAGAGTCTACAGAGGCAGAATCCATCTCCCACAAAACCGTTCACTTCTCAAGGCGGCTGGTGCATGCTTTCTGCTGTGGCCCAAAGCAACACTTTGCTCATAAGCAGACATCACTTCTCAGGGCTTCAATTTAGCCTGCAAACAGGTCAGACAGAGTGTCTCTGGTTTCTCTTGCTCATGAGGCTGCTCAAACATTTGAAAACTAATTTCTACTGCTACAAATGCTTTCATTTAAAATCAAGGATTTCAGGGGTGCCTAACTGGCTTAGTTGGTAGATGTGTGACTCTCAGAAATAAAATCATTAACATCAAGGATTTTAGGGGCGCCTGGGTGGCTCAGTTGGTAGAGTATGCAACTCCTTTTTTTTGTTGTTGTTAAAGATTTTGTTTGTTTAAGTAATTTCCACACCCAACATGGGGCTTGAACTCACAACCCTGAGATCAAGAGTCCCATGCTCTAGGGGTGCCTGGGTGGCTTAGTCAGTTGAGTGTCTGACTCTTGGTTTCGACTCACGTTATGATCTCAGGGCTGTGAGACGAGGCCCTGAGTCAGACTCCGCACTCAGTGGGGAGTCTGTTTGAGATTCTCTCCCTTTCCCTCTGCACCTCCCCTGCAACTCATGTGCTCCTTCTCTCAAATAAACAAATCTTAAAAAAAAAGAGAGAGAGAGAGAGAGAGTCAACAGAGTCACATGCTCTACCTACTGAGCCAGCCAGGCACCCTGAGTATGTGACTGTTGATCTCAGGGTCATGAGTCCAAGCTGCACTTTGGGCATGGAGCCTACTTAAAAAGAATAAATAAATTAAAAAAAAATTTTT